AACCACAATGAAGACGAAGCGGAAAATTATGTTGATGTACTGAACTCTTCTACTAGTTTGTTAAAAAACAAAAAGATTGAAAACATAGAAAATGACAATACTCTCAAAGAGAAAACGAAATTGAATTCGACCTCATTAATAAAATATAAAATAAGAATTTTATCAGACAGTCATGGAAAAAGCATAAGAAACTTGCTAAACAAAAATATTAAACATGACGAATCATTTTAAGTTTATAGTTCTGTAACACCAAATGGAAAAATGGTCCAAATTTTAAGTACTGAAAATAGTTTTTACTATAATAAAAAAAGTATGGATAAAAATGATTTTATAATAATTACTAGCAGAGTACCCGTCCTTCGTACGGGGTTGGAATATAAGTATAAAATGCTTTTTGCAGTTATACTCAAGCTTTGCGTTTGCAATAAGGGAGGACACAGTTTGATAAAATTTGCTTTTTTAAATTTACAGTATTCTATAGTATTACACATCTACTACAGCCATAATGTTCTACCTCTTCACCTACAAAAAAAATATAGTGCTGCACCCTGTTGGTAAATCTTCTAACTTTTTAATGCTTTTGTATATCATAGAACCAACTTTTTTAGTTGAAACAGCTGACTAAATTCTTTAATTCCCTTTAAATATGAATACTCATAAGGTTAACATGGGGAACTACAGAGCCACTGGGGCGGAGCCCGAAAGGATTTTTGAGATAAGAATATGCCTTTATGTTAATCGGGAATGTAAGCTATCATCATGCCAAATTTCAGCCCAATCCGTCTAGTGGTTTATGCGTGATTGAACTTCAAACAAACAAACAAACAAACACACAAACTTTCACATTTATAATATTAGTAAGATATTAGTAAGATGTGTGAAACAAATGACATTTGCTTAGAATTAAATGTTGATAAATTTTTCAAAAAGATTTAAGAAAGAATAAGAAGATTATCTTACACAAATGTTTGTATTATTGGCCTACCTTGGAGATACGATTCACCAATGCTGAATAAAAAAATATCAACAATAAATGAAAAGCTATATGAATCGACTATTTTAAATTAACATACAAATTTCATAAGTTGTTCACATATCTCACGCTCCTTTTACACAAACCACAGACTCCACTTCAATAAAAAAGGGTAAATTAGAGCTTACCAAATTAATAACCAATCTATATAAATAAAATTAGAGTTTTGTCTGTACATTGCTTAGAATAATGAACTTTTTGGTTATTTTTACATTTCATAGGTCAGAGAAACCGAATCAAACCTTATCTCAATTTCTGTCTGTCTGTCTGTCTGTCTGTCTGTCTGTCTATCTGTCATTCTCTTGGTAACGCTAAAATACGCACTTTATTACAACTACTCCTCAATAACTATAGCACTGTCCCGCCTGAAACTTATTTTCCAAATACTATACATATATGAGATGGTTTTAGACGTATTTCATCGAATATGAGACAGTTAGATATTTAACAGTAAACCCTTGAAAATCAAGTTTTTGTCGATTTTTGACGTGGAATTTCTGGAAGCCCATGTTAACCTTATGAGAAATGAAATTATTGAATCTTAACAGCTGTTTCAATTAAACAAGTTGGTTCTGTTCTGTGATGTTCAATAGCATTAAAGTTACAAGGATTACCAACAGGGTGCAGCACTAGCACTATTATTTCTTTTACATTTATGACAACAGCTAATTTGCAACCTGGAGGCGAGTGAGCGTAGCGAACGAGCTAACCTGAAGGCAAGTGAGCGTAGCGAACGAGCTAACCTGAAGGAAAGTGAGCGCAGCGAACGAGCTCCAACATACAGGTGAGTGAGCGTAGCGAACGAACTTCAACCAGGACGTGATTGAGCCATGCAAACGAGATCAGATAGTAAAAATAAAAGTAAGCCTACCGTTATAGGATCGACCGGCAGACACAGAGGTAATTTAACCTTTTATTGATTGTCATACCGATCCGGAACAACAAAAAACAACATAAAATGAAGCTATGTATAATAGTTTGGCCAGCATATCTTAAAATATGCAAACCAACTGCTGTTCGTTATATAAGAAGGTTTCAACTGAATATTATAAGATCCCCGTGCGTAGAACGGGTACACAGCTAGTTATATCTATAACTATAAATTTGAATCAGTTATCAAACAAATTCCTGTTAAAATAACCGAAAAAAATAATTTTTTAGAGAAATATCAAAACAAAAGACACATAGTTTAACAAATATCAGCATTAAAAACCAAGTTGTACAGACAAATTCTACAATTTACAATTTAAAAGCAAATTAAAAAATGAAAATTGGTTGCCAGTCTTTACATTTGGAAATACATTTGGAAGAAAAATATGAATAATTCAACTCAATTTTATCAAATCATTTTACAAAATCATTTCCTCTAAAGAAAATCAATCTATGTAGTTCAATGGATAAAATTAAATCCTGAGACAAAAGAACTTAGAAATTATGTTACAAAACTATATTCAATGACAAAAAATTTAGATTCCACCCATGCCTTGAGAAGAACATACCGAAAAAAAGAAAGAATACAGAAATTCCATTAGAGAAATTAAATCGGCAGACATCAAGAACAAAGTAGTTAATCCCAAGAACCCCATGAGAGAATTATGGAAATCTGTTAACGAAAATATAAAAAAGACCAAATCAAAATTACAAACCAATTATGAAATCAGGAATTCAAATGGAAACAAGCTTACTGATCCAGATTTGATTGCTGAAGAATTCAATAAATTTTTCATAAATATTGGACAAGTAAACAATGTCATGCAAATCATCTCTTGAAACTTTATACAATTATAATTCTATATTTTTACGCAATACAAATGAAGAAGAGGTTATAAAAACTATTAACGATATTAAATCCTCTACCTCTTATGGCTTTGATGGCATCTCTTCCAAAATTTTAAAATTTTGCTCTTCTGAACTACTCCTGTGACGTATTTAATAAATCAGTCCATAACTAGTGGTAAGTTTCCACACTTATTAAAAATTGCCAAAGTTATACCAATTTTTAAAGCTGGTGATTCTCAAAATACCAGCAATTACAGACCAATATCTATTCTTTCTCCATTCAGTAAAATATTTGAAAAAATAATTCTGAATAGACTTTTATCATTTCTTAAAATAAATAAAATATTATCAAAAAATAAATTTGGATTTCAAAAGAAAATAACAACCACAAACGCTATATTTGAAGTAATTAAATATATTACTTTTCATCTTGATGGAAATAATAATGTGATGGCACTATTTCTGGATTTAAAAAAAGCCTTCGATATGGTATGTCATAAAAAACTTTTAGCAAAATTAGGAATTGCACTACAATGGTTTGAATCTTACCTTAGTAACAGGCAACAGTCAGTCCAAATTATATTTATTGATAATAACAATAATGTAAAATATTATAGTTCAGAAAAACTTGAAACAAAATCAGGTGTCCCACAAGGTTCTATACTAGGTCCAATTTTATTCATAATATACATAAATGATGTGGCATATTCAAGGAAATTATCTGAAGTAATATTATTTGCTGATGACACAACTTTATTGACATCCAGCCAATATTAGAGAAGAATTAGAAATTAAATTTTATGAAGAAGCAAATGAACTAGCACAATGCTTCATGGAAAACCATTTAGAAATCAATGTAAATAAAACAAAATTTATGGAATTTTCAATCAGAGATAAAATAAAAAAAGATTTCAACTTAAATATTTTAATTGATGAACAACATATAGAAGAAATAAAAACATTCAAATTCCTAGGACTAATTATAGACCAAAATTTAAATTTCAACTCGCATATTGAACACTTATGTAAAAAACTTTCTCAAATTATTTTTATACTAAGAAAATTGTCTATGTTCTGTAGTGAAGACGCATTACTCACTGTATATCATTCGCTAATTATTTCCAATATTAGATATGCAATACCTAACTTGATATGGGGCTCAACTTCATCAAAAACTAAACAAATATTTAAATTGCAAAAGTCTGCATTAAGAATTATTTTCAAATTAAAACCACGCCAATACTGTAAAAAAATATTTAACAATTACCAATTTATGACCTTTTACTCAATTTATATTTATGAAACATTACTATTTTTAAAGAACAATTTTGAGAAATTCTTGAAAAATGATAAATTATGTGAGAAGAATTATGATTTGAGAAAATTACAAACATTTTCTTCTACTTTCTACCAAACAAAATTTTATGAAAAACATGTTTATTACAACAGAAGAAAATTATTTAACAATGTGAGCTATCATCATGCCAAATTTCAGCCCAATCCATTCAGTGGTTTATGCGTGATTGACCTTCAAACACACAAACAAACACACAAACTTTCACATTTATAATATTAGTAAGATTTTAGTAAAAATGTAATCAGACAAGTTGAAATTCGCTTAGTCTGCAGGTTGGCTGCGGCGGGCGAATTTTTTTTACCAATGACAATACACCAATTTACAAAGATAATGTTTGACAGCTACAACAGTGAATGTTTATGTTTTGTGCTAGGCATTAACAATAATAAACAATGAAAAGAATAACAGTAATATAAATGAAACGAGTAACAATAATAAATAATGAAATGAATAACAATAATAAAACATTATAATGAAACATATATATATATATATTAAGTTCCTTGTTAGTTCTCAATAGTTCTTCAATATTGATGTTAGTTCTCCTAAAATAAAAAATATATTATAAGGCATTAAACGTGGTCACACCAACGTCACAACAATAGAATTTCCAACGTGCACAGTTTTCTGATGAAAAGTGCTTACATTCCGGAAGTGCTTACATTGGCTACCTCGCCGCGAAATGCTATGACGAGGTACACTCGTATCTTGATTACAAAAGATTATTCATTCTGATTATTTATTATATTTATTTATTTATTTATTAAGATTATTTATAGATTATTTATTCTGTCAATATTTTAATGCAATATTGACAAAGTTTTTTTTCAGGCTTGTTTCATTGAACACCAGATAGAAATCAAAACTTATTTAGATGGTCTAGCTGAAGCAAAGAGAGTTCAATATGAACAGGTAGGCAAACAATTTGTTTATGTTAAACTTTAGATTTAAGCTTGACAATTAGTTGTTAGTCCGTCCAGCCTTTAAGTTATTTAAAGGTTTTGTTCTTTAAGATCCTATTATTATGGCAATTTTTTAAGTTTAGATAGTAAAATATACTTGCTTAGGTAAACCTTTTTTATTTAATCCAATTTTTGTGAAATCCTTTGCACGTGATGGAAAAAGTTTTCTTTGTTCTGTTAAAAAGGGATGTGTTACAGAAAGTCAACTGTGACTAAAGGTCAAATAATTTATTCTTGTACCGTTAGATCAAAAACAATATATTTTGCTGTAGCGTTAGGTACAGAATTGAAGCAATGGTACCATTGAGTAAGTACCATTGAGTCAACAAGTTAAGTCAGTACTAAAAACATACGCTGTGTATATGAGTTTGATCTAATGGGATTTTGACCTAGTGAACAGTTCCTACGAGAACAAATATTTCAACAAACGATCTATTTCGTTGCAATAAGTCAACAGTACCGCTAGGTCAAAAGTATATTCTGTTCAAAACAATGATAGTCCTCTCGACGCATGACTTCAATAATTTTGTGTTTTGGCGTACTTAAAGTTGTGCTAAAATATTAAAATTTTATTTCCTTAGTGATACTATTGTGATGCTATTAGTGATTCTACATAGCCTACATGTTTTATATTAATCTTGATCCTGATATAATTATACTATACTGATGGATGACACAAACCGAAAAGAGAAAATGAGTCGTTGCTAATTATTCTTGTTGGGGGTTTTTTTTTTTGCTTGGGTTTGTCTAAATAAGCAATTCTAATGCATTGCCAAGTGTTAATTTTTAATAAGTGTTTGCTTTGGATAAATTATGTACCTTTGCCTGGATGAATTTTAGCAAAAGAAATATCTGTTAATAGCCAATTGTGTAACGTAACTTTCATAGGTGTAGGCTATTTTGTTTTGGCCTAATATGAGGTACATACCTTTACGTCAACAGTTCAAACGTAGTTAGTAGAACTCACATGTTTCGCCTGTTCAGGCATCGTCAGGTGATATCCTTGCAAGAATGCTTTGTCTTCATCCATGATGGGGTCGTCAAGAAACATTGAAATAAATACACATACATTACGCACAAAAACATTTAACAATTAGAGTAGGCCTACTATTAACGGTCGCGGTACGGAGGCAGACTGAACTTGCTGGAATTATGTAACACCGACCCCTCCTCCGTTATCAGTAGTTGTACTACAAAGGTCAAACTGTTCTTGTCTATTGTTGATGGCTATTATGGCATTGAAGATAGAGTGTGATTTGAAATTTAACTGGTCATTTAAAATATTGTTTTTATTGTGGCTGTCTCGGAAGCTTTTGTAAATTTCAAACTGTTCTAGCGAATCCAATTTATTACCTTTGTTACAAACATGGAGAATTTCCAGGCTATTGTCAATTGTATCTATGGTGTGATTTTTATCTAATAAATGCTGGGCGAAAGTGGATTTTTGTTTGTCTGCTCTGGGGTCGGGGTGATGTTCCTTGAGTCGTTGAAAAAGGATCTGCCTGTTTGTCCAATATAAAAAGCCTGACAATCCATACACTTCAATTTATAAACTCCAGACTTGTCTAACTTGTTTTCAATAATATTTTTTTGTGTTGAAGCTTGTTTGGTTTTATTGGTAGTTCTAAATGTTAATTGAAGCCCGTGTATCCTTAAAACTTTGTTGAGTCCATTCTGAGCTAAGTGAGTATTCTATGCAGATGTATTTCATCTCAGATTCATTTAGCCCTAGTACAGGAGCTTTTGGTTTGGTTTTCATTGTTTTCAATTTTGTTGCCAATTTATTTATTATGCTCTGTTTGTAACCATTGGAAATAGCTATGTGCTTAATTATATTTAATTCTTTCTGGTAGTCTTTGGCTGAGAGCGGGAATTGAAGTAATCTGTATACTAGGCTATTGTAAGCGGCGAGTTTATGTGATATAGGATGGTATGACGTGGCATGTATTGTTTGGCTTGGCGTTGTAGGTTTTCTGTAAAGCTAAGTTTACTATCGCTCTTTTTAATGGTCATGTCTAGAAAATTGATTTTATTGTTGGTTTCCGTTTCTATTGTGAACTGTAACTTGGGTGCAATGTTGTTTAAATAGTTTAGTAACAGGTTCAGTTGTCGATTGTTGCCATTAAATAACATAATGGTGTTGTCAACATAACGATTGTAAAGATTGATCCTGTTTCTGTATTTATTGGAATCGGAGAAAATGAAATTGTTTTCTATGTGGTTCAGATAAATATCAGAAAGTATTCCAGATCCGGTTGAGAGTAGAACTCTCCATTAAAAGTAAAATAGTTTTGTTTTAAAACCTCAGTTAGAAGTGCCATAATTTCGTCAGCAGATTCAGATAACATTGTTTGGCTATTGGTTAGATGTTGTTTAACTATTTCCAGTACTTAATCAATAGGGACATTTGTGTATAGGTTAACTACATAGAAAGATGCGAGCGTATGATGCATTTGAATATTTAAATCTTTGGTTTTATTAATAAACTCATAGGAATTCTTCAGGCTGTAGTTGTAGGTTAGAGTTATGTTTTCTTGTAATAGCTTCTCTAGTTTTTTTGCTACTTTATAGGTAGGTGCTGGAGTAAAATCTACTAAGGGTCTGATAGGAATGTCTTCTTTATGTACTTTGGGAAGGCCCCTAAAAACTGGAGCTGATGGGTTCATTATCTTTAAATATTTTGTTTCATCCTGAGAAAAGATAGTTTTGGAGTCGTTTATTAATTTCTTTTTCCTCCTCTGGTAGGTTTTAGTAGGATCTTTATTTATATGTACAATATTATTTTTATTGAAAAACTCATTGACTTTATCATTATAATCATTTTTCCGTAGTATCACGGTGGACGGTGGTGTTACCTTTGTCGGCTTTACATAGGATAGCCTCATTAGTTACCAGTTTTTGTTTAATGTTCTTTAAAACTATAAGTTCCTCTTTATGTATATGCGATTGGTTATTGCCGTTATTAGATAGTTCATTATTAAAGGCTCTCTTAAGCTTTTTAGACATGGTGAGACGTTATCATCTTCGTCAGGTATAGATTTAATGGCGCACTCAGAATGAATTAACTCATTGAAAAGTGCATTCTTACCCTTTCTTGGGAGGTTGTAGTTTAAACTTTTTTTTATAATAATTGGATTTCTTTGTCATTGAAAACTATATCTGAGTTATTAACAACTCTTGGGAAGAATTCAAAATCGAATAAAAGTGCAGTTTCTTGAGTGATGACTATTTATTAGACGTGTGAGTTTTTTTTCTTGAGTGTATTTTTTATTTTTATTGATTATGTTTTTTGTAGTACAGAAATTTAATTTTGTTTTTGATCCACAATCTTTCTGCGTCCTCTTTAGTTTTCTGTGCTGCAAAGGATTTGTTTTTTATCTTTTTACTTGAATGTAGTTTGGTTTAACATTAAAGCGTAGACAATCTTTATTGAACTTTATATTGTGTATTGTATTTGAAATTTTCATCTTGACATTCTTGTATTGGATGGCTAACAGCACCTGACTGACAGTAGAATTAAAATTCATGATGTAGCCCCTGAACTGTTTAATTAGACTAATATGAGGTACATACCTTTACGTCAACAGATCAAACGTAGTAAGTAGAACTCACAACATGTTTCCCCTATTCAGGCATCGTCAGGTGATATCCTAACAAGAATACTTTGTCTTTATCCATGATGGGGTCGTCAAGAAACATTTAAATAAATACACACAGATTACACACGAAAACATTTAACAATTAGAGTAGGCCTATATTTTGTTTTTGTAGCCTAAATGGTAGGCAGTAGGTCCTCGATATGTTGTAAGTAGCCTTATCGTGTTTCTATAACATAATATGCCTTACTAAGCAGCCATTTAATATATTTCATAATTAATTATGACCTTGCCCGGCCTGTGATAGGTCACCCACTTAGGCATAAGTTAGGTGAAAGATATTACCAACTTATACTAGCAATTAAGGAATAACAGAGATTGGCAATACCTTTACACAGCAATAGCATAGTAATTAGTTATGGTTGGCATAATTTTATGTAATGGGATTAATAATAGGCTACCATTACTGAAGTGTTGAACCTGTTGACCCTAGCTAGGCCTACCACAGGGATAAATAGATTAAACTTACAAAGTGACGATTTGCACGTCAAAATGACGCCACAACCCGTTCCCATTGCAGTTCCAGTATTACTAAATAATGCAAAGGAAACTTCATTTTAAAATAGTTGTTTAGCCTCCGGATTACTGTATCTATACAGGGTGGTAAAAAAGTCCCTGGACAGTTAAATATTTTGAAAAATAATGCAGATAGAGCTACAATACTTGGTACAAAGTTACAGGGCATAAAACTCTATTTTAACACATATTCAGTGATACAATAACTCTTCAGGGGGACGGCCCACAAGGAGTCGGAAGAAAATCTTAAATGGAAGCATAGTTTAATATGCACATCAAATTAAAGGTCTTTTTTAGTAGAATACAATGCCGAAAACCGCACTTCAAAAGGTTGATCCTGCGCAAAATGACAGCTGTTCAAAGATTCATTTAATTTACAGTACATTGCTATTATACGCTTACTCCTCAGGGGGCACAGCCCTAAGAATCGGAGGAAAATTGTTAACGTAAGCATAGGTCGATATGCACATCAAATTAAAGGTCTTCACTAGTAGATTACGATGCTGTAAATTCAAGCTCAAAAGAATGCCTGAGTAAAAAATGGCAGTCGTTCAAAGATTCAAAATGGCGGATTCAAGAAATCTTTGAACATCTGCCATTTTGCGCAGGATCAACTTTTTGAAGTGCGGTTTGCGGCATTGTATTCTACTAAAAAAGACCTTTAATTTGATGTGCATATTGACCTATGCTTCCATTTAAGATTTTCTTCCGACTCCTTGTGGGCCGTCCCCCTGAAGAGTTATTGTATCACTGAATATGTGTTAAAATAGAGTTTTAT